GAGCCCGGTCAGGGCTGGAGACTTGGTGGTGCTTTGGGTGTAAGATGAGTATGTCCGATTTTGTGTTTCCTAATAATTCTGGGTTTCCAGTGAACATCCAGGCACAGTTGCTGAGCTCCTTGTGTATGCCTTGGTCCAAGGCTAAGCCAAGCTGCTTCTTGCCTGTTTTCCCAGAGCCCCGTAGGGCCAAACACTGAGGAGGTCTCAGCATTGGCTAAGTGCACAAATGAAGGAAGGTGGGGGACCAGCTGTCAGCCCCTGGCAGGAAGTTGGGGCAGGGCTGCCTGATTTCTTCTTATCTTCCTTGTCTGTCCACAGAGAGTACACCTGGACATCCAGGTGGGGGAACATGCCAACGACTATGCAGAAATTGCTGCCAAAGACAAGCTGAGTGAGTTGCAGCTCCGGGTGAGACAGTTGGTGGAGCAGGTGGAGCAGATCCAGAAAGAGCAGAACTACCAACGGGTATGTCGGGCAGGAGCTTCTGCGTGGGCTTCATCCCAGATGCCTTCCCCTGGCTCAGCCAGAAGTTGCATGCTGGTCGGATTCATTTTGAAACCCAAGGGATTTACCTGTCTGTGCTGCTCTGCAAGTCTAAAAGGCGGGGTGGGTACCACTCACTCCCGTTTGTAACCAAGGAGATAGGCTCTTAAGAGGCTGTCATTGCTCTAAATCACAGTGACACATGCCCAGTGACAAGAGCGGGAATTGATGCTAATACCATGGGTGTTATTTCCGTGCCTCCAGGTGCTTCTAGGACCAGCTATTTCATACTCACTTGTGTCGGGGAAGCAGGATGGGACCATGAATGAATCTGTGACAATGAGGACTATTACGTGTCTAAGCCTCAGGGACCTCAAGTTAATTGTCAGCTGAGGGCAGCGTTGCAGATAATGCTAGCCCTGGGTTTTAAAAGAAGCAATGTGAATTTTTCCGGGTTTTAAATATTGGCAAAACACATGTATGTGCCAGATGCCACTACGGGGCCACCAGTTTGCAGCTTGTGCCCACAATCCTCAAGGAGCAGCTAGGGAGAGCTGGGCAGAGAGATCAGAGCAAGTCCACTCCTAAGTGCTAGAGGACAGCTCTGATGGAGTGATACTGCAATGACTTTACCTCTCCACCAAGCTCCAGGATAGGACCAGCGGAGTGCTGTCCCTGACAGAGGAGCAGACAGACTTAAATGAGTGGGTTCCCTGAGGCCCTCTGGCTGGGGAGGATGAAAGCAGTCCCCAGGTGGGGGGTTTCTTTGACTCTTTGCAGGTACTTGACTGGAACCTGAGCAGAGCTGGTTGGCCCTGGGGCACCCTCTGGGAAGGGAATCCGGCAGTTAAAGTGGCGCCTGGTGGGGCCCAGCGAACTTGAGCTCCTCTTCCCTTCTCCTGCAGTGGCGAGAGGAGCGCTTCCGGCAGACCAGCGAGAGCACCAACCAGCGGGTGCTGTGGTGGTCCATCCTGCAGACCCTCATCCTCGTAGCCATCGGCGTCTGGCAGATGCGACACCTTAAAAGCTTCTTTGAAGCAAAGAAGCTGGTGTAGCCATCCCAGGCCTCACAGGCCATCCTTCCTCCCGGGCTGGGGGAGAAAGGGCCTCCTGGAACTGATTTCTCTCTGGCAGGAGGACTGGTTCCGAGCCGTGGATATCTGGAGGGGAGAGGGGCTACAGGCACCCCAGGCACAAGCTTAGGGCAGCAGCTTGGCTGGCTGATACTGAGCAGGTGGTGGGCCAATGCCTGCCCCCTCCCCCGGGATCTGAGCCCTTTGCAGTAATCACTCAGGGGCCAAGCCACTGGGAGCCCCGTTGGCACCTCAGAATCACAGTGTTACTGATCAGGGACGTGAGGCTATTGTCTGGGGTGGCTGGGGGAGGGGAGCGGGTGGGCGAGCCAGTCTTTTTTTCTGTCTTCCTTTGCTAACGTGGGATTTTGCGCAGGTTGGGGTGTGGCTGTGATTCCTTGCCACCCTGGGAACCTCACTATACCCTCCTTGGGCCCAGACTGCTGATCCAGGATGTGTGTGTCAATGGAGGGGAGGGGTGGAGGGGGTTGCAGTGTGGGGAAAGTAGCCCTGAGGTTGACCTCAGCTTCTCAAATTGGTTGTCCTTTGGGGGGCTTGAGGAACTGGGGTCAAGCCAAGCAGAGGCCTTGGTGCTGGTTGGGGATGGGGCCTGCAGAGTCTTAGTTACGGATTTCATTTTCAATAAGTCTAGGTTTGTTACATTGGTTTCCCAATTAAAAAAAAAAAAGTGACTTCTCGTCCAGTGTAGTTACTATAGTGGCCGTAACACGGAGGTACTCGGGGAATGTCAGTTCTGCCACTGTGTACCTCACGTTCCAAGATGAAAATCCACCTGTGAACTTTGGTCCTCTTAGCCTCTCTCCACCTTCCCGCAGCAGGGGATAGCGGGTCTGCCCAAGACCATAAAACAAGTGACTTGTGGGCTTGGTGCTCAGATTTATACCATTTTCCTCTGTTTCCACTCCCTTGAGATACAAGTGGCCTCCCTGCGTTTCCAGAACAGGTGGACGGCATTGTCACGGTGCTGCCAGGAGGGGCCTCATCCGTAAAGGTAGTCGGCATTGAACAGAAGAGTGCAGCGGGTTTGGGGAGGACAGAAGTCCCTGGGCTGGTGGGCATGAGGATGTTGATGGTCTTAACCAATAGCACGGGATTTCAGCAAGGACTGTGAAGGAGAGGAAGGATTCTGAGGTAAGAAGGCAGAGCCGGGGAGTTGGGGGCATTGGCAAATGGAGGTCGACGGCACGGTTTCCACTGGAGTTCAGGATTTTATTTTATTTTACTTCTTTTTAAAGATTTTATTTATTTGACAGAGAGATAGCAAGAGCAGGAACACAAGCAGGGGGAGTGGGAGAGGGAGAAGCAGGCTTCCCGCAAAGCAGGGAGCCCGATGCGTGGCTCGATCCTAGGACCCTGGGATCATGACCTGAGCCCAAGGCAGATGCATAATGACAGTCACCCAGGCGCCCCAGGATTTTATTTGAGAGAGAGCACAAGCAGGGGGAGCGGCAGGCAGAGGGAGAAGCAGGCCCCCCCAGACGCGGGACTTGATCCCAGGACCCTGGGATCAAGACCTGAGTCAAAGGCCAACTGAGCCACCCAGGCAGCCCCTGTGGAGATAAATTTGAGGAAGGTTAACCCAGCAGTGTGAGAGAAAGAGATGGGGGGCGGGGGGACCAGTTTGCAGACTACTCGAACTGCCAGGTGGATGTGATCTGACCTCATATTGCCACCTAGACCACCTCCACATTAAAAACAAGACGCTTTTATAGAACAGCTTTGGAATTACAGAAAAATTGTATAAAATAGTTCCCCCCATTATTAATGTCATGCATCAGTTTGGCACGTTTGTTAAGAAACAATATCGATACATTATTTTTCACTGAAGTCCATACCATATGTAGATTTCTTTAGCCATTGCCTAAACCTTTTGTTTGTTTCAGGATCCCATCCAGGATACCACATTACATTTAGCCCCTTCTTCGCTGTGACAGTTTCTCAGAATTACTTTGCTTATTATTACCTTGACAGTTTAGGAGTACAGTTCAGGTTTTTTGTAGAATGTTCCTCAATTGGGATTTGTCTGCTATTTCATGATTAGACTGGAGTTCTGAGTTTGAAAGAAAGACCAAAAATGTGCCATTCTCATTCCATCATATCTATAGTGCTGATTATCAACATGACTGTGGGTGTCACCGTTTGAAATTAATTTTTATGTGAAATCTGATTTCTTGAGACAAATCAGATCTGACACTAGTGGGGCTTCATTCTGATGTGACAATTAGCTGGGCCGAATCGAGCTGTCCCCTTGAGGTGGGTTTGTGCTTTCAGATCACAGTCCCACCTCCCTGCTACTGTCACTGGCCTTACTGGACTGGTCTCTGCAGGGGGTCAGCCTCCCCTGTGTCATCAGCGAACCTAGGCTGCATTTGCCAAGGCTCTGTTCTAGGGTGCAGTGCAATGGCAGAGTTTAGCAGCGAGGTCCCTGGTGGGTATATGCTGGGTTTAACGGAGAAAGGGGGCTGCTGGGGTGACTAAATTCCTCACCGACAGTAAAGTCCTTTTGGAAGCAGCAACTGCAACCAAGGTATCTTGGTTTACACCCTGAATTGCCTCTCTCTGCCCCAGCTTTTCAAGTGGGCAGAAGTACACTACTCGTAGGGACTGAATGAGAGAACGGGAGTAAAGAATTTAGAACCATGCCTGGCACCTAGTAAGCACTCAGTAGATGTTAGCTATTTATTTGGGAGCTTCACATTTGCCTAAGAGCAGGGGAGATCAAGCCCCACGAGCTCTGTTGCTGTCTTTTCCCAGGTGGGAGGCTGGCCCAGCCGGGTAAGTTCCCACTGTGCCAGGGAAGATAAGTATAAGAACTTCGTCTTATACTCCCCCTTCAGTGTTCACCTCAACTCCAACAAAGTGCCCCCCTCCCGCATAATAACTTGTCACTGACATCGGGTTGACTATATGCCCAGCACCCACCAAGTATGTTGGTCTGTCCTCCTTCAACCCAAGCAACCACGTCGGTCAGGGACTATTTATGCACGCAAGTGAGGAAACATTTGCAAGGGGATGGTGCCTTGCCCCCTAGGGCTTGGGGTCTCTGCTTGGCCCGAGGCTGAGCCCCGAGCCTGGCCTTGCCCCACTCCTAGCTTGCTGCGGAGGAAGAATGCACCACCAACTGGGGCCGGGAAGAGGAGGAGGGTGCGGATCGTCATCCCAGAGCGCCGGTTTGGAAGCCTGGAGTCTAAGTCCAGCACCGGCTCAGTGATTTGAGCCCCCTACGGGCTCTCGGTTTCTCGGGAGAACGAACGGGTCCCCGGCAGGGCAGTTGAGCCGTCCGGCGGTGGGAGCGCTTGGGCGTTCCTCGCACGCGGAACCTTTCACGCGGCGGCTTGGGGGAACGGACGGCGCGGCTGGAGCGGCGGACCCGGCGGACCGGGGGGCGGGGCGGACGGGGCGGGGCGGACGGGGCGGGGCCGGAGGCGGAGGCGCCGCGTAGGCCCGGAGGCCGGGCCGGCCCGGCTGGGAGCTCGAGTCCCATGCGCCGACACCTCCCCCCACGATGTTCCCCTCCCGGAGAAAAGCGGCGCAGCTGCCCTGGGAGGACGGCAGGTGAGCGGCGGCGGCCGGCCCGGGCCCCGTCCTCCCGGGTGCCGATCCTTTCCGGGCCGCCCCGCGGAATCTAGGAGCCCGAGGCCGTCGCGTCCCCGTCTGCGGGGCTTCCTGAGGGTCTGTGGTTCTCCTTGTGGGTCCCTGTCTCTCTGGGTCCGGGTCGCCGTCTCTCCGTGTGGGTCTCTGTTTCTCGCGGTCTCCGTCGCTCCGCAGGTCTCCGTCCCTCCGCGGGTCCGTATTTCTCCGGTGACTTCCCCTTGTGAGTTTCTGTCCCTCGCTTTGCGAGGCTCTGTCTCTCCGCTCCGTGTCGCTCTTTGTGTCTGTGGTTTTCCACTGGCGTCTGTGTTCGTGCGGGTCTCTGACTCCATTGACCTCTCCCCACTGGATCTCTGTCTTTCTGTCTGCCCCGGGCCCTGAGGGTCGTTCTGCCTTGTCTCTGGGCTCCCGCTTCCCCCCTTCACGTCTACGTAGCCTCATACCCTACCCTCTCTCACGCTTCCCCAGCTTTTGCTGACCGCCCAGAAGCTTTTCCGACCAGATCGAAGCTCTGGATGCTGTGCCTGGCAGGCCCCTGCCTGGCACATACTAGGCACTCTGCACACGTAATGCTGGTTCATTTCCGGTGCAGCTGTACTCGAGTGGGACCTGCTCCATGGGTTAGGTGTGAGCTGGATCCAGACCTTAGCTAGTGATGTTCTCCACTAAAGCAGAATCAGGGTAGGGGAGCCATTTGCCCATCTAGATTCGGGGGGACACCCACACTTCATTCTTAAGATGTGCCCGCAAAACTCTTCTCACCCAGAACACCGGATAGCGGGTGTCCGGAGACCCAGTGAATGACACCTCATTCCCTGTATGTCTCTTGAGTTTGCCAGGTGCCAAAAGATTCTGAAATATAGTGGGCACAACTCTTTCGTTTGGGGCATTTTTCCGACTTGGTGTTGAAGTCGGAAGACAGGAATATAAGAGAAGGAAAGCCTGGATAGTGGAGTGAGCCCTGGGCGGCAATCCTCTTTAATAGCCATGTGACCCAGAACAGATCACTAAATCTTTCTGACCTCAGCTTTTCCATCTCTGAAACAGGGATCATAATATCTACTCTGCAGGGCTGCATGAGGATTAAAAGAGATCACATCCGTAAAGCTCTTGACACTGTGCCTTGCACAGAGGAGGTGTCTAACGGGTCCCTTTGCATTTGGGAAGTGCTGTTAACCAGAGCAGCTGATATTCAAACCTGTATCACTAAGATTTTTGTAAGGAAAGAGAGGAAAGGTAATGGAGGAGAAGTTCCATTTCCTGATCCCTTTCCATAAACCTTTGGAACATACCTGTGTTCCCCAAAAAAGTTACCCATGTCAATTCCTGCTTTGGACCCAGGGGGTTCAAAGGTCCATGCAACCGATGCAGGCTAGTGTAGCAATCGAGAGTGCTGGCTCTGGAGCCAGCCTGCCTAGATTTGAATCTGCCTTTTCTAGCCTTGGGCACAGACTGATGGAGACAAAAAAACCTCCTCTGGTCTGCCCCTCAGAGCAGGGTGCCCCGGGGCCTGGGAGCCGGTGGGCCTGCAGATCTGGAGTTTGCCACCAGGTGGCGCCAGGAGCTCTAAGTGTCCACTTGTCCTGAGGAATTGAGATTTGGTTCTGAATTCAGTTGCTCAGGGATTTGGGCCCTTAGAGCCCAAAGGATAGGATTGCCTACAAGAACGTGATCCTGGAAAGGGAAGCTGGACTGAAGGAACAGCCTGTGAAGTTGCACAGAGTGCCCAAGCCATGCCAAACCCCCGGATAACGGTCACTGCTTCTTTTCCCAAAGGTGGGATGTTTCTTCATGTCCGTATTCCCGGTCTCCATCCCACCCCCAGAGAGAGCCCCGAGGGCGAAAGAGAATCTGTAGAGGTTCCAGCCTTCCCAAGCCACTGGCAGGATTGGGCTCCGCTCCTCCCCAGCGGAGAGCCCTACCACAGGACAATGGGGGGTAAGTCAGAAGCCCTGTCTTACCTGGCCACCTCTCTGCTGTGTGTGGGACCTGGCTGCAGGGCTGCTGGCTTCCAGGTTGTGCTCTAGAGAAAGTCAGGAGCTGTTCTGGCTCTGGTGTGTGACTTAAAGCATGTCCCTGACAGCTTGAACCTTTCCTGTGACTCGCCTAGCAAACCCTCTGTTGTCTAAACTGGGGCCGCAGGCAGAAACTGATGACCTGCAGGGGAAGACAGTGAGCAGGGACACAAGTGATTGCAGAGACACAAGTGATTACAGATAAGAGCTCTGAAGAGGGAAGGCCCAGAGGCCATGGAGGGAGTGCTCTGTCAGTTTGTGCGCACGTTGAGGGGTTGGCTCTGCGGGCCCTGGCGTTGGAATTGAGGTAGAGGGACCGTGCTGGCCATGACATGGGAGGTTGGCCCCAGAGGATCAGCAGCGGGCTTCTAGGCAGATAAAATAAGGAAGGGCACAGCAGACTGTGTGAGGGCTGGAGCAGGAAGGACTATGGTGAGTGGCGAAGCTCTGGGTTACCCCACACGTGCCCTGGGTGAGTGGTAGGGAGCAACTCAGGTCGAATTTGTGCCGCCTGCCAGCTAACTGGTGACTCCTAAAGGCAATAAAGCCAAGTGTTTTGCAGGTTATTGCAGGGGGAGTAGATTGAGGAAGATTGCTTTTTCTTAGGTTGCTCAGCTCCTTCGCGATCCTCAGCAAAGGGATCAGGTGAATCCCACCTTCCTAACCTAGAGAGCAGCCTCTCCAAGCACTACCTCGGTGTCCAGGCCATTCAGTGGCGCTGGCCGCTTCTAAACCCAGCCTGGGTTCCATTCCTGGCGTGCATCTTCCTTTCCCTCTTCCGTCTCTCATCTCTTGTCGCATGGGCTGCCTCTTGGACTGAAGCTTTGAGACTCGTTCAGTGAACTGCCACTGGCCATTTGGGCCTTGTGTTGTTTTGGAGGCAGATCCGATCTTCCCAGAGTCAACTCAGGTCTCTTCCCTGGGACGGATATCGGCCCTGGCCCCTGCCTTGGGGGTCTTTCTTGTGTGAGAAGCAGGATGAAGCCAAGGTTTCATCTAGGGGTAAACCGACAGGGGAGCGCGGTTGGAAGGCAGTGGATGGGACCTCTAAGGCGGCACTCCTGCCGTCGGCTCGAGCTTTGGACCTCCAGCCATTGTCCTGGGGAGGGGCAGGTACAAGGCACAAGGAGTCTCATCCCTGACCTCCAGCAGCTCTTGGTCTGACCTGGACTCACTCACAGAAAGTAAAGGGGTGTGAAGGAACTGGGGCAGCTCTGCCCCGGGGATGGAGGGCTTCCTGGAGGCGGCGTGACAGAGGCTGGGCCCAGAGCAGTGAGCAGGATTCTTATGCGAGGTAGCAGCATGAACAAAAGCATTCAAGTGTTGGCTTCTGCACTAACTCCCAGGCGCTTGGGGCAGACCGGTCCTGTGTGCCCAACTTGGGGGGAAGCCAGAGGAGGGGCCTGTCAGAGGGCCCCTGGCACCACCCGCCCTCCTGACCCTGTCCCTGCTCTTGTCCCAGGTCCAGGTTGCTGCCCAGCGGCCTCCCTCGGAAGTGCTCCGTCTTTCACCTCTTCGTTGCCTGTCTCTTACTGGGCTTCCTCTCCCTGCTCTGGCTGCAACTCAGCTGCTCTGGTGACGTGGCCCGGGCAGCCAGGGGACAAGGGCAGGAGACCCCAGGCCCACCCCAGTCCTGCCCCCCAGAGCCGCCTCCTGAGCACTGGGAAGAAGACTCATCCTGGGGCCCCCACCGCCTGGCCGTGCTGGTGCCCTTCCGCGAGCGCTTTGAGGAGCTCCTGGTCTTTGTGCCCCACATGCATCGCTTCCTGAGCAGGAAGAAGATCCAGCACCACATCTACGTGCTCAACCAGGTGGACCACTTCAGGTAGGGGCGGCCTCCTGATTCAACAGGCCCTCTCCAGGTCCTCACCTTGCCCTGGCCCCTCGGACTCCTCCCTTTCCCACAGGAGTCCTATGCCAGGGGGGTCTCTGGCCTGTGAAAGCTCCCCCCATCCCTGGGGAGCAGTGGCGCCTGGGGCGGGAGGAGCAGTAATGTTTTTTTAAAAGGATTTGTTTATTTATTTGAGAGACAGAAAGAACGAGCAGGTGGGAGGGGCAGAGGGAGAGAGAGAATCTCAAGCGGACTCCCCACTGAGCACAGAGCCCGATGCGGGGCTCGATCTTACCACCCTGAGATCATCACCTGAGCCGAAGAGTCGGACACTTAACTGCCTGAGCACCCCCCGCCCCAGGTGCCCTGATACCCATTTTGCAAAGATGACCACAGCTCCTGTATGAGGAATAGCTTTTACCTGGACACCAGAGGGGTGCTGGGTGGTCAGAGGTGAGGGTGTCTTGGCTCTGGGGGAGATGTGGTGGGGAGGAGCTTTCTAGTGGATTGGCTGTGGGTATTCAGGGAAGGGCTGGTCAAGACCACAGCTTCGAAGCTGCTCTGGTGTTACTCTGAGGTCGTTGCCCTTTACCACGCCTCGCTCCGCTGGGACAGGTCCAAAGGCTGGGGCCCCACCCGGCCCTTTAGGCCACAGTTGCCCCAGTTTTCACAGCCCACCCTCCTGGTCCTCACTGTCTCCTCCCCCAGCTTGGATTCCACAGTCCATCGGTAGCATCAGTCCCTCGGCCCATGGGCCACAGAATGTGGCTGGAGAGGTGGCTGGTCTTCCTGGCAGTGGAGGGCCTGCCTGGAGCCCCGCGCTCCTCTGGCCTGCTGCCTCTCCGCTCTCTGACGCAGCTCTGCCCCCTCTCTCCTCTCCTCCTCCTCCTCAGCCTCGGCTGATGACTTTGCTTCCTGTGTGAGGAAACAGAACCAGCTGGAAGAGAGCGCGCCCTGGTGCCCACCAGCCTAGGCGCCCGCCATGCTGAGAATGCCCTGTCCCAGCCCCTCCACTTGGGCCCCCGATCCCCTTCTCTCTATGCTGTTCAAGGACATGGCTCTAGCCACGGCTTCTTTCTCGCCCGCACCAATGGGCACCTGCTGCAGCACGCCCACTGAGATAGCGCCCAATTAAAAAAGACAAGACCCTGTGACCTCCCATCACCATTTCTCTGCTCCCCTTTGTAGCAGACCCCCCCCCCCCACGCTCTCTGGAACCTCCTCTGTTCCAGCGTTTACCCCCATCATGACATGGAGGCAGCTCTCGCCGATACCACCAGTGAGCCCCAGTGAGCCCACTGCCATGCCCTAAAGCCTCCCCTCCCTGACCTCTTGAGTTGGTGCTCTTGGGGCTCAGCGCCTCAGCATCCTCTTTTCTGGCTCCAGTCACTCCCTGGGGGTTTTCGGTTGGTCTCAGGGCGCTAAACCCCACCCGTACCCTGCTGACCACCCCCCCAAGTCTGTATTTTCCTGACCGCCAGAACCGCACGTGCAACCACCTGCGTCACCCTCCTTCTGGGGGTGTCGGGCAGCTGAGGCTTAACATGATCAAAACCACATTTCTGAATTCCCACCCGCCCCCCTTCCCCATTTCAGGAGCTGCCCGCTCCTCGCTTCTGCTTGCTCAGGCCAGAAAGCCTCAGAATCATTCTCAACCCCCCTCTTTCCCTCGCGCGGTGCGTCCGGACCCTCAGAATACATCTAGAACTTGCCCCCTTCTCACCGCCCCCCTGAGCTAAATCACTACTGTCTCCTGCCTAAATGAGTGTAGGAGCCTCCCAACCCGACTGCCTGCTCCCGCCCCTGATCCTCCCGTCTCTTCCCAACACCCCAGCTGGCGTGACCCCGTTACACGCCAAGACACAGCACGTCCTGCCCCTGCTTCGAGCCCATGGCTCCTGCGTCTTCCTGCGGGTCACAGCCCCAACCTGCCAGGGCCCTTCCCCAGCCGCATCCCTTAAGCCCTCCTCGGTCCCTCTGCTCTTGCCTCAGGCCTTGTCGGTTGCTTTCACCTCTGCTCGGAGCCCCATCCCCTCCACTCCTCTCCCCTGCCACCCTGTTATCCTGCCCCCCATCCCCCTTGTCTGAAAGAACACTGCCCCGCCCCCCAGCGGGCTCCCCCTTCCTCGCCCTGCTGTTCTTTCCTCCGCGGCTCACCAGGGTCTGGCTGGGCACATACTTATTTTTTTCCCTTATAAGCATGTCAGCTCCCAGAAGACAGGGCTTTGATTTCTCAGTGCGGGCACTGCAGTGATCCGGGCGGTTTCCGGCACGTGGTGGGGGCTCGGTGGACCTGTGTGCGCTGAGCCCGGGGCGGGGGGGCGCAGGCGTGCAGCCGGGCAGCCCCCCAGGGAAGGCGGCGTCGGGCGCCGGGCGCCGGGCCGGGTGCTGCGGAGGACAGGCTCCCACTCACCGTCGGCGGGGAGAGCAAGCCCCGCCGCCCGCCCGCTCAGCCTCTGCCAACCCCCTGCGCAGGTTCAACCGCGCGGCCCTCATCAACGTGGGCTTCCTGGAGACCAGCAACAGCACGGACTACATCGCCATGCACGACGTGGACCTGCTGCCCCTCAACGAGGAGCTGGACTACGGCTTCCCCGAGGCCGGGCCCTTCCACGTGGCCTCCCCGGAGCTCCACCCGCTCTACCACTACAAGACCTACGTGGGCGGCATCCTGCTGCTCTCCAAGCAGCACTACCAGCTGGTGAGGCCCAGAGCCAGGGGGCGCCCGCCTGCAGGAGCCCGGGAGCAGCCCACCACATGGGAGACTTGGTTAGGGAGGCCGCGGCCGGGAGCGGGAGCCCCGGCCGGGAGCGGGAGCCCCGGTACCAGCTGGCTTCAGAACAGAACACTGGGGGTGGGAGGGGGGCCGGCTCCTTGGCTCTCAGACTGGACCGGTCTGGGTGGGGCCGGGGGACGGTCTGGCTTCAGGAGCGGCTGGCCCAGCCTCTCAGATGAGGGTCCCCCGACACCATCTCATGCGCCATCTCTCAGCTCGGCTTTCTCGGCGGAGTGGATTTATTTTCAGACACTCAACCGGCAGGGTGCTTGTACCTGCGCCCCGCGCCCACCTAGGCCCGGGTTCAGTGGAAGATGAAGTACCTTCTCCAGCAACCCAGACAGGAGTCCCAGAACTGCATCTTGCTGCCTCTTGATTGGCCTGACTTGAGTCAGGGGCCCACCCTGAGTCAGGGGTTGTGGCTGGAGGTCGGTTGGGGGGGGAACCAAGTGGCTTAGACCCCCGTTTCTTGCACCTCTTTTCAGGCTGTGGCTGAAGCCAGCTTTATGTAAATGAAGCTCCAGGTCGGGTAGCAGAAAACGGTGCTGCCACAGAGCCCAGCTGTCCCCATCCCCCCAGGGAGAGACCAGGGCAGAGCGTCCCCGGGAGAAGCGGGGGCATGGGACAGGCAGAAGTCAAGCACGAGCTGGCACTTCTGCCCATCACCAGCTCCCCGGAGAGGTGCCTTCCTGCCAGCCAGACCTTTTTGAGAAACTGGTCATCTCACACAAGTTCAGGGCCCCATTAGAACAGGCAGAGGGACTGGGTGTCCATTCGAACCTCCACGGGGCGGGGGGGGGCGGGGAAGAGCAGGGGGCCTTGGCAGACTCCCAAGTGGTAGGAGACCAGGGAGTGCTCCTGGGAGGATGGGGCAAGTGACACTCCCTGTCTCTATTAGTGCAACGGGATGTCCAACCGCTTCTGGGGCTGGGGCCGTGAAGATGACGAGTTCTACCGCCGCATCAAAGGGGCCGGGCTGCAGGTAATGTCCCCCCAAGGGCTCCCCCCCTCTTCAGCCTTTGTGGCTGCCCTGAGGTTCCCTTCTCTGGCTCAGATGAGGTTCCTGGGGCTTGGAGATGGCCCCCCCTGCCCTGCCACCGATGAGCACCTCTTTCTCCTGCTGAGTGGCAGTGCAGGCCCCTGCCTGTGGCCTTTGGCCCGTGGCCCATGGCAGGCGGGGGGACCCCGGAAGACTAGCGGTGAGGGCCAGAGCTCCGGGAGGGCGGCCTGACCCACCTTCCTTTGGCCTTCTTAGCTTTTCCGCCCCTCGGGAATCACAACTGGGTACAAGACATTTCGCCACCTGCATGACCCAGCCTGGCGGAAGAGGGACCAGAAGCGCATCGCCGCTCAAAAACAGGTGCTGGCAGGTCCCCTGATTGGGGCCGCATAGGTGGTGACATGGGGAAAGCAACAGGGCCAAGCCTTACCACCAAGCTCTCCTCGGGCCCAGATGGCCCTGTCCTCCCCTGCTTGGCCCAGCGTAGTCCCCGCTCTGGGGGCTGCCATGAGCACCTGGGTGCCGTGGGCCAGCCGAGACCTCAGGGCCCGGGCAGGCGGGGAGCAGGGGGAGGGACTGTGCTGTAGGTGCCGACTCCCAGGCAGACCTGTGACACAGGGACCACCATCCTGCACCCGGCCATATTGGCGCATCGGCTCTCGTACTTACCGCCGCGGTGCCGCTGGGGACAGTTAGCCGCCACACAGCCCTGAGTACGTGCCCTCTCCCCCTTCCCTTCCCAGGAACAGTTCAAGGTAGACCGGGAGGGCGGCCTGAGCACCGTGAAGTACCGCGTGGATTCCCGCACTGCCCTGTCGGTGGGCGGGGCCCCCTGTACTGTCCTCAACATCCTGTTGGACTGTGACAAGGCCGCCACCCCCTGGTGCATGTTTGGCTGAGCCGGCAGACAGTAAGGAAGCCTGTGCCCACAGGCCTCACAGCTCCTCAGGCTCAGGACAAAGCCTCAGGCCCGGCGCCCTACTCCAGTAGGACGTGGAGGGGCCCAAAGCAGCGCCTAGCAAGCCACCCGCTTGCAGCAGCCCCGCCCCCCTGGGGGCAGGCTGGACCCGGGACGCTGCTAGCAATGAACAGCAGTGGAGAGAGGCTGGAACACGGCTCCCACCTGGGACCGCCCGCCCCCTTCCTGCTTGCCCTGCTCTGCCCGCCTTGGCGTGCTTAGACCTTGGTTCCTTCCCCTGGACCGCGTTGGGCAGAAGCCAGGTGGCGGACATCGGTGGCCAGGCGATCCAGAAGGTTGGAACTGCAGAAACTGGCGTGCAGGTCCCACAGGAAGGGAACTGCGGAGGCCAGCTCCTGCTGGGTGTCAACTGTGCAGGAATGTGGGCCCCGTGTTGCCGGATCTTCTGATTTTTTCAAAAGAAACTAGAATTCTGGATTCTTACGTGAAATTGGGTACTTTTTAAACGCTAGCAACTAACTGAAACTTCAGAAAAGGATGGTGGACCAGACAAAACGTGTTGTGGACCACCAGTTTGTCGCCTGTGACCAAGCGGAGGGGGATGGGGCAAAAGATGGCACCTCCCTTAGTGATGAGCTGGCAAGGGGTTGGGACAGGGCTGGGGATGCCAAGGCCAGGGAAAGCTCAGGTGGGAGAGAAGCTGGATGGAGGGCAAGGTTCCTGCCACCTCCCACAGCCCTCCAGGCTTCGCTGCCCTTCTGGGCAGTCTGGTCCCTCTGGGGTCGGGGGGGCTTCATCCTGCCACACTGGGATGGACAGTCATAGATCCACAGGCCCAGACTCAGGGTAGGCAGAAGGTGCCGGCAAGGACCTGGTCGTAGCTTGAAGGTGGGAAGACCACGTCTCTGAGGTGGGAGGAAGAAGATGAGAAGCAGGAGAATCCTGGGTTGTTCCCACAAGCATGAGGGCAGATTAGCACTGATCACACGATGTCCAGGAGAAGCAAAGGAGGGGAGCCATGGGAGACCATGGAATTGGGGAGTGACCTTGGAGGAATTACCTGCAAGGAAGCCTGGGGCCAATGAGAGTGTGAGGTGAGGGGCTCTGCAAGGTAGAGCACTCCTTCAAGGCATCTGACTGCCAAAGATTTGGGCCAGAAGTCAGGAGAGTCTTGGGACCAGGGCAAATTGGTTTGTTTAACAATAAACAGGACACCTGAAATGCCAGAAGAAGGGAGTGAAGTCCCAGAGTTCGGGAGGGTGGATTCAACAGCTGTGCTCCAAAAAGACTACTCCTCTGAGGATGATCTCAGGGCTGCTGTGTACAGTTGTGGGGGTTGTGCACTGCATCACCTGAGCGGAGTGTGAGTACAATGTAACTATTCAGATGTCTAACAGAGGGTCCTTGTTATCCTAAAGTGACCTCTTCCAGCAGTTCAGCTTCACTCAGCATGGTGAGGGGCGAGCATAGGGCGATGACGGTGCAAGGGCAGTGGGAGGGACTTGGTCAACTTGAGGCCCAGGAGAGGGGAGTGAAGTGCTCCCTGTGGGCCAGTCTCTCGACAACCCTGGCTGCATCATCTTGGACTTCTATAACATGGAGGCAGAACGCCAACCTCTTTGGAGTTGGTGAGACTGGACGTGCCATCAGAGCCCCCAGCTCGGTACTCACCTAGCACGTAGCAAGACCCACAAGAATAGGGAGCTCCCTCCTTGCCACCTGCATGGAAGGAGTAGAATGAAGCAGGACCAGCTGCCTTGGCTGGGGAAGGCCCCCTACCCGCTCCCCCCATGGCCACTGCCACCACCTTCCAGGAGCCCAGAGGCACCCCGGGCCAGGCCTGATGCAGCCTGAATGTGCAGCCTCCGTGCTTCTCCAGCCGGGGCCTCCCCACCCACCCACCCCTGCCCCTCCAGCAGAGGAGGAGGAGGGGGCTGAGCGGTGGCTGGCTCGGGGAGGAAGTAGACAGCTTGGCACCTTGGTTGCCTGCTCCACGGGGGGAGCTGACATCCTTGTCTTGCCGGCCAGGACGTGGAGGAATTGGACCCAGGACATAGCTGGTGTGGCATTTGGCCAACCTGGTGGCTAGAATAGCACCTAGCCCTCAGGGGGCATTAACCACATACAGAAGTCTTGCCATTGCGTTCTCTCATGAAGCGTCTCTTTATCTAAGCTATCTCCTAATTATTCACCTGTTCTATAGACGAGGATGAAGCATAGAGTGGTAAGTAGCTTGCCAAGGTCAGAGAGCTGATACCTGGTGGAGCTTGGGATTTGGACCCCAAGACTTCGACTTGAGAGCCAGATTCCTTCATCCCTGGCCTGTACAGCAGGTGCCAAGAGACAGATGTTCCTTTCCTTCCAGACCTTCCCTCCTCTCCCCAGCCAGAGGGGGCCAATGGGAGGGCTGGTCAATGCTGTCTGGTGCCCCTCCCACCTCTGGGACAAAAGCAGAGCCAGGGGGGCGATCCACAGTGTCTGCCCCTTGCCGCCTCTGCCTGGGGTAAGGTGGGGATTTGCCTGTTGGAGAGGTCCCTTGGGACATTGGCGGCATCCACAGCATGGCATTCTGCCTGAGGAATGTACCAGGGGCTTGGGGAAGGCCTCCCCCAAAAGGCAGGATCTTGCTGGTGGAACCACATTGCAGTCCCAATGGGAAGGGTTCCAGAGAGATCATCAAGGACAAGGCAGAAACACACCGGAGACAGCGTGTCATGTTGAGGGACCTGGAAGCAGTTCAGGGTGTCCCTGGTACCCTGATGTGGTGTAGGAGTTGGGGGAGGTGGGCAGCAGAGGGAAGGCTAAGGTGACCCCTGAGGACCTGGGAAGGCCACACTGAGCAACATGTACATTATTCCGTGGGCGCAGGGGTTTCAAGCAGGAGAGAGTTTCTGAGCAGGGAGACATATGGTTAGGTCTGTGTTACAGAAAGATCCTTTGGGATCTAACACCCCGCCGGTCCGGGGGGGGTGGAGGATGGAGTCTGGGGGAGGGATAGCTTAGGCTGAACAAGACATGATGAAGCCAGACTGAGGCCAAACAAACAAGGACACTAGAAGAACTTAAGGCCACTGGCACCTAAAGCTACAGGAACCATTAAATTGGTCCAACTCCTAGCCAGACTAACATCAAACTTCACATTAAAGGTTTATATCAGTCCCTTTATCTAATAAATCATGCATTACAAGCCTTGCAAAAAGGCAAGAAAAAAAAACAGACTGAAAAAAGAGCAAGAATCAGAACCAAACTCAGATATGACACAGAGTTTGGAATTACAGATAGGAAATTTAAAATAACTATGACTCATATGTTAAGGGCTTGGGATATTATGATTTGTCAGAAATATATATTTGGTCATTCAGATGACCAAAATATATTTCTTCTCATATATTTGGTCTTCATCCATGGTTCCTGGCTCACAGCTCATAAAAACCCTTGGCATTTCCTCAGTAATAAGAACAATGGGATCATCTTTGGTTATAATATTTGGTCTTTTGTCCTCAGTTCTGGAAATCACTTGAGAGCCATAAAGGTGAAATGGGTGTCTTGTTATTCATGATAAGCCCCTTTATACTACAACTGAGTTTATCGGTCTTTTTTTCTAAGATTTATTTATTCATTTTAGAGAGAGAAAGTGCACAAGCAGGGGGAGGGGCAGCGGGAGAAGGAGAGAGAGAGAATCTCAAGCAGATTCAGTGCTGAGCTCATGGCCTGAGCCAAAACCAAGAGTCAGACGCTCAACTGACTGAGCCACCCAGGCGGCCCTCATTTTTAGCTTGAATAATTTGTGTGTGTGTGTGTGTGTGCACGCGCGCGCACGCGGATGCGCGTGCGTTCTTTAGGATTTTCTATATATGGGATTATGTAATATGTAAATAGAAATAGTTTTTCTTCTTTTCCAATATAGATGCCTTTAATTTCTTTTTATTGCCTACTTGCCATGGCTAGAACCTCCAGTACAATGTTGAATAGAAGTGACAAGAGCAGACATCCTTGTTTTTTTCTTGATCTTAGGGAGAAAGCTTTGTGTCTCAACATTAAGTATGATGTTAGCCCTGTGGTTTTTGTAGATATCCTTCAACAGGTTGAGGGAGTTCTCTTATATTTCAAATTTTTTGAGTGTGTTTATCATGAAGGATGTTGAATTTTGTGAGATGTTTTCTCTGCATCTATTGAGATGATGATCATGTGGTTTTTGTCCTTTATTGATATGGTGTATTGCATAATTGATTTTCAGATATTAAACGAAACTTTATTCTTTTTATTTTATTTTTAAAATATTTTATTTAAAACCAACCTTTATTCCTGAGATGAATCACACTTGGTTATGGTATATAAACCTTTTTTATACATTACTGGGTTCAATTTTCTAGTATTATGTTGAGGATTTTTGCGTACACTTTAATGAGAGATATTGGTGTGTGGTTTTCTTGTAATATCTTTGGTTTTGGTATCAGGGAATACTGGCTTCAAAGAATGAGTTAGAAAGTGTTCCTTCCTCTTCCATTTTTTGGAAGAGTTTGTGAGGAAACTGAATTTGTTTGTGAGGAAACTCATTCATTTTTTCTTCAAATGTTCGATAGAATTCTCCAGTGAAGTCATCTGGGCTTGCGCTGTGTGTGTGTGTGTCAAATTTTTTAATGACTAATTCAGTCTTTTTCCTTGTTGTAGATCTGTTCAAGTTTTCTATTTCATCTTGAGTCAGTTTTGGTCATTTGTGACTTCCTAGGAATTTATTCATTTCATCTAATTTATCTAATTTGCTGACATACAGTGCATAATATTCCCTTATACTTCTTTTTATTTTGTAAGGTTGATAGTAATATCCCCTCTTTCATTCCTGACTTTAGTAATTTGAATTCTCTCTCCTTTCTCTCTCTCTCTCTGTCTCTGGATGCTCCCTCCACCCCTTACTCCCAGTCAGTCTAGGTAAAGGTTCGATAATTTAAAAAATGGTTTGATAATTGGTCCTTTCAAAGAACCAAGTTTTGGCTCCATTGATTTTTCTCAGTTTTTTAAATTCTTTATATCATTAATTTTTACTCTAATCTTCATTAGTTCCTTTCTTCCTCTTGCTTTGGGTTTAGTTTGCTCTTCTTTTTCCAGTGTCTTCATATATAAAGTTAGATTATTGATTTGAAATCTTTTCCTTTATTAATATAGTTGTTTACAGCTGTAGGTTTCCCTTGAAGCTCTGTGTTAGCTACAGCCCCTAAATGTTGGCATGTTGTGTTTTCTCTTTCATTCATCTTGAAGTATTTTCTAATTTCTCCTGCGATTTCTTCTCTGGCTAATTGGTTATTTAGGTGTGTGTTGTTTAATTTCCACATATTTGTGAAATCTCCAAATTTCCTTCTGTTATTAATTTCTAATTTCCCTCCATTGTGGTCAGAAAATGTGCTTTCCACAATTTTGATCCTTTTAAATTTACTGAGGCTTATTTTATGGCCTATCATATGGTCCCTTCTGGAGAAGTTTCCAGATGTACTTGAGAAGAATGTGTTTTCCGCTACTGTTGGGTGATTCTGTACCGTTTTTGGTTTTTTGACATTTAAAAAAATAATGTTTATCCAAATTAATTTCACCCCTTCCAGATAATTACAAATTATCAGACTCACTTGTCATACCAGGATTTATCTAAGGTGTTCAGTAAAACCAGATGAGCCCTGCTCAAAAAAGTCCTCTACTCATTGCAGGAATATCACTGAAATAGCCATTTCTGACACACACAGTACAGACTTTCCACTCTTGAGTGGATTGCTTAATCTCCATCTGCAGTTTCCTCACCTCAAAAATGCAGTACCTGCTTTGCAACTTTGCTTTGAGTATTAGGAACACTGCATAAAGCACCCATGTCAATGTCTGGCATGTGATAATGCTCAATAAACATGAATCATAATCACTATTAGACTATTTATATGCATCCTGTCTAGTTTAATATGTACTACACCATACACTACATATTATTAAATAATGATATTAGGAGCACCTGGGTGGCTCAGGTGGTTTAGTGTCTGACTTGATTTCGGCTCAGGTCCTGATCCCGGGGTCAGAGGATCAAACTGGCATCGGGGTCCATGATCAGCCCAGAGTCTGCTTGAGGTTCTAACTCTCCTTCTCCCTCTGTCCTCCCCCTGCTCACTCTCTCTCTAAATACATACACACATACATATATAAATCTTTTAAAACAATAATGACATTATTAAATCTGTATTTCATTCCTTCATAAGTTAGACATTATTGGAAAAACTGAGGCTATAGTTACGTGACTTGCTTAAGTTACCTACGCGGAGAGTAAATGCCTGAATTTCAACTCTGGTTTATTTCATTGGAAAGTCAATTTTCCTACCACTGTTGGAAAAATCCTTTCCTCTAGCCACCCCCCCCTTTTTTTTTTGCTTTTGGGGTTTAAGAGCAGAAAGAAACTTGAATCAGGCTATGCTGAATTATCAGAGAAGAAATAATAAGGAAGCAGAGACCATGACATATTTTTTTAAGTTTTTATTTTATTCACCCGGTGCTCATCCCAAGTGCCCTCCTTAATTCCCATCACCTATTTCCCCCATGCCCCCACCCACCTCCCTTCTGGTAACCCTCAGTTTGTGCTCCTCAGTTAAGAGTCTGTTTTGGTTTGTCTCTCTCTCTTTTTTTCCTTTGCTCCTGTGTTTTGCTTCTTAAATTCCACATATGAGTGAAATCAAATGCTGTTTGTCTTTCTCTGACTGACTTATTTCACTCAGCATACTACCCTTTAGCTCCATCCACATTGTTGCAAGTGGCAAGATTTCACTCTTTTTTATCACTCAATAATATTCCAATATATATATATATACATATACCACATCTTCTTTATTCATTCATCTATTGATGGACACTTGGTTGTTTCCCTATTTTGGTTATTGTAAATAATGCTGCTACAAACATAGAAGTGCATGTATCCCTTTTGAATTAGTGTTCTTGTTTTCTTTGGGTAAATACCCAGTGGTGTGATTGCTGGATCATAAGGTAGTTCTATTTTTATTTTTATTTTTATTTTTATTTTTTATTTTATTTATTTATTTATTTATTTTTATTTGACAGAGAGAGACACAGCGAAAGATGGAACACAAGCAGGGGGAGTGGGAGAGGGAGAAGCAGGCTTCCCACTGAGCAGGGAGCCCAATGCGGGGCTCGATCCTGGGACCCTGGGATCACGACCTGAGCTGAAGGCAGACGCTTAACGACTGAGCCACCCAGGCACCCCCAAATAAATAAAATCTTAAAAAAAATAATAACATGGTGTAGATATGAAGTGCCTAGCACAGATAATAGGTGCTCAAGTTTAATTATTTTTTATCTATCCTGGGAGACGGGGAAATATTCTTCCTGAAAAATGAAAGACCATTTTTTTAAGATGTATTTTCTTGCTTCCAAGCACAGCTTCTGCTGGTCAAGGTCATATCACAGCTGTGGAGAATTTTTTTTTTAAGTTTATTTGTTGATTTAAGTAATCTCTACACCCAACATGGGGCTCGAACGCACTGCCTCGAGCTTGAGAGTCGCATGCTCTACGACTGAGCCAGCCAGGCGCCCCAAAGCTGTGGAGAATTAAAGCATGTTGACACTTCTTTTTTTCTCACACCTATTGCTCTTGAACGACTTATACAATTTGGATGAGCCAAGCACAAGAGGGAGGACGTCGCTAAGTTTGGTTCAGTTGACTAGGGAAATTCTCAGATTAGGACATGAGCTATTTCTGGCTTTTAGGTCTGAACCCAGATCTCTACTTTTAGAGGATTTTTCTCGCATTGTACATTCTCATGAGTAGTAACAGTAACTAGCACGTTTCAGTGACTGGAAGCCAGGAAACCCCTCACTTTGCAGATGGGGAAATAGGTTCAGGGAGGATAAGGTTCTTGCCCACTAGTAAGGGGTGGGAGGCTGGGATTCCAACCCAGTCTGTCTTTACTTTTCTGTGGTTCTATGTTGTGTGACTTTACCCCAGCCTTGGGCCCTAACTCATCACAGTAGGGAGATTTCCCCCTTAACAGGGTCCTGTGTTGGCACTGTCCTCTCTTTGATAGACCCTCTCTTTGGCTTTCCTTTTCACAACTTCTACTTCTGCCTTCCTAGAGAGGACCCCTGATGGGATGAAGTATGTTCCCAATAGAAAGAAATTCTAGGGAGAGTTTATTTTCCTGGAACAAATGGAGAAAACATTCTAGACTCATTGGT